GTGTTGGGGAATTGGGGAAGGGTAACAGCCAATTTGTTGTCCTTCAATCTTAGTTGTGGAGGGCGCAGCTAGCTCAGCTCCAAGTTTAGTCACCATCCGGCTGCCTGTAGGCAGCTCACAGCTGCTCAGCTCAAGTGCCGTGTTCAATCTTAGTTGCGGGTGGGCATAGCCCACCATCCCATGCGGGAGTCAAACTGGAAACCTTGTTGTTAAGAGTGCACGCTCTCACCAGCTGAGCCATCCTGCCATCTGTTGCCAGTGCAGCAGCAGCTCAGCTCAGGAGCAGCTCATGTGGGAATCGAACTGGCAACCCTGTTGCTCAGAGCTCATGCTCTTAACCAACTGAGCCACTCGGCTGGCCCCCTACTAGATTTTTAAATGGCCTGAAGTAGACACACAGGTCTGGGCAGAGCTCATCAGACTTTTTGCAAATATGCAAGTCTATGCATAAATGGTCCATCTTCTGGAATTTGCTAATTTCAGACCTGCACATTATCAGAGAGAGCACATGCATATTCATGAACACAGAGGCAAACACCATTGATAGAGAAGGGAACCAGCTGAAATTTGTGGCTTCTCTCCACAGAGGTCATTTATTGGCTCAGATGGTCTCTGCTGAATATGAGCCTCAGGACATGATGAAGATGTTGTTACAGGGAAACTGGTATCAATGCTTTGGGGGTATTAGATGACAGTGAATTTTAGTGAAAACATGGTGATGATTTCTTTAAATAAACAAATAAGTTAACAGCAGTCCCCCTTCTGCTTTAAAAAAAAGATAAGAAAAACATACTTCAAATGGCCAACTCTGATATGTATTCTGATATTTATTTACCTGCATAATGTATAACTTTTATTTTTATTATTTATATTTTTATAGAAGCACCTTTTGTCAAGGATACTGTGATTGGAGGGAAGAGCTTTAGTTACTGTGAAAAATAATTATCATTTGTAATTTGCTTTTTGGAATGAAATCCTAAGAGCCTACTTTAAGATTATATACCTTAAAGTTTGCCTTATTTTTTTAAACCAAAGATACCCAACTTTAGCATTGCTGAGCCATTGTTTTTCATTAGTGGATAGTGATACATATTCAATGCCTGTCTCAGCTGCCTTTCCGAACCATCTTTGTACCTCCCAGCTTCTCAGATTGTACCACCCTGTTAGAGCTGTTCTTGCACAGCCATGTTCATTCCAGGGGGCTGACACCCCACAGAAAAGCTTGTGTCATACTAAAACAGAGTTTAAAATAAAAAAAGAAGCTTCCCCTCATTTCATCTTTACTGAGCCATAGGGCAAGAGAATTTAATGAGAAAATTTGGAAGTAACTGGTAGATAAGAATATTTAGGACATGGAACCATCTAGGGGTAGAGTTAAGAAGCTGTTAACACATCAAAAACACTAACAAAAATTTGTAACTTGCATTCATCAAGAAAATGTCATGCTAAACTCATCTTATTCCCTTTTCTCCTGGGTTACTAAACTGGCTGATGTGGGAGTGTCATGATTTAGATTAATTACTACAATTAAGTTTCTTATCATGCCTTGTGGGAAATTCAGTGGCATGTAAACTGGATAACAGACAAGCTTGGTGAAGCCGTGGTTAATTAAAGAGCCATGCTCAATATGTGTTAATTAATGGACTGACAGAACCTGTGTGACATGCATGGAGGGTGACTCGCGCTGTATGCAGAGTTATGCACAGTACAACAGACCTGCCACAGGTCCACCTTGTCTCTCCCACTCAAGAAAACACACTTGGAGACGATGCATTGCAAGAGACATTATAATGAGAATAAGCCTACCACTCTGATTTGGAGAATGAAAGGCTTGCAGATTTCTGTACCTTGCTCATTATCAGTAACAAATATTTTGTGATACCATAAGATATTAACTCTGACTCAGACTTTTGTCCCTCAGTCTCATTCTGTTCAACATTTTTTTTTTTTAAGATTTTATTGGGGAATTCGAGGAGGGGAACAGACAAGTTGCTGTCCTTTTGTCCTTCAGTCTAGTTCTGGAGGGCGTTGCTTCACTGGCCCATGCTGGTATTATCATTGTGCTCTCACCGGGTGAGGCAGTCGCTTGCAGGCCATTGGATGGTCGCTCACTGCGGCTCACGAAAGCTCATGCCCGCTGCCGGCCAGCCCCACTGCAGCCTACGCCATCGCTGGCGACTCATGGCAGCCCAGCTCCAGGTCGAGCTGTTGTTCACTATCTTAGCTGTAGAGGGTGCAGTGTCACTGGCCCTCATGTGGGATCCGAACTGGGGCCCTGCTGCTCAGAACTGGCATCCCAAGCCAACTCCTAACCAACGCACCACTCGGCTGGCCCTGTTCAACATTTTAAACACCAACTTTAAAGAATTCTAAAAAGTGTGCTTCAAATCTAAGGAACCACATGGCTTAAAATCTTCCAACACCAAAGCTGAAAGCAGCCTACAGGAGCAAGGCATCATTCAAGCCCAGAAGTGGCTTTCAGTGCCAGAAAACCTACAGATGAGTGAAGTATTAAACCAATAGTTAAAAGTTGTTAATTTTTAAGAATGTACTTTTCATACCTCTATTGAAAGAGATTTTATTTTTGTAAGCCTTCTAAACGGCTTTCTCTTCTAAGCAGAAATGTCAACATGATCAATTACTATTTAGGTAAACAGTTTGAATAAATTATTTCTTACTCTAATGAAATATATGTTCAAGTATGGAAGATTTCATTTTATTTCACCTTTGGACTGTTAGTTTCTTGAGGACAGGGACAGTATCTTATTTATTTCTCTGTTGTCAAATCCTAGCATGTCTTCAACACATACTATTAAAATTTGGTGAATTAAACCCTAGTTAACCAACTATGAAAGAAGAGTCCTGACTGGGGCAACACAATTCACTTTCCACTTAAGACGACTTTGCAAATTAGAGGGATAGTACCTTAGGGAGCTAACCCTAGGGTGATTGTTCCCACCCCTTGACAGCTCATTAGAGTCACATAGGTTGCCAGAGAAAACATACAAGGCACCATTAAAATGGAATTTCAGATAAATAATGAATGATATATATATTTTTAGTATAAGTATGTCTCACATATTGTATGGGTTGTAGCTATACTAAAAATTATTTGTTTATCTGACATTTAAATTTATCCGGACATTCTATATTTTCATTTCGTTGCTACATCTGACAACTTTAAGGCTTTAGAAAACTACCAAAGTGTGGGCTGCACTCCAGAGATCTGTATGTAATCAGTCTGGAATGGGACACAGTACTGATATTTTTTAAAGGCTCTCCAAGTGAATCTATTATGCAGCTAGAGTTGAGGGTCACCATCCTGTAATGTGTGTTTTGAATTTGAATCTTGTTTCCATGACTTCCATGTGTAAGTTTTACCATCTTTTCAAGGTATCTCATGCTTTAGCTTCCCACAGGCCAACCCCAGTGAGCTGCAGATCCACAGGCTTTGTGTGAAGTAGAAAATGCTAGGCAGTTGTGACCTCTCTGTACTTCCTTAGACAAGGGAACTTTTATTTTAGGAATTTCTCCCTATCAAAATTTTGGGGAAATGAAGTATCTCTGTACAGACACTGGGTTCCTTTCAGTTCCTCAAGCTATTGCATGAAGCTTAAGCTGATCCTGACCTCTACATAGTTCACAAATGTGTGGCTCACTCCTGTGGGCACCATGAATTCTCATAATGGGTCTCCTAGACGAGTCTCCATATCAGAGCACCCCATCTCCCAAGGATGCCCCAGATATTAGGACTAGGCTCTGTTAGTCCCCCCTTCAAGCTTTGGTTGTGTGTGTGAGAACCAAACAACTTTGTCAGACTGTCTGCTAGAGGCTAGTGCTGCATCTTTGCACCCTAGCTCAGTGTGTAGGGCCTTAATAACCATGGGTGGACCTTTCAAAATTTAGTCTTCTTGATTGGAACTTAGAGCAGTGTTTCTCTGGATTCCCATTTGTTCTGCTGTGTTTGCTTGTTGGATTCCTGGGACCATGCACCCACCTAAACACTGTTGCTTGCCATGGCATAAGGTGGGTGAGCCTCCTTCGTGAACTATGCCCCATGGGAAAAGGGGGAGCTCTAGTGCAGTGCCCAGGCCAGGCCCTGTCTTGCCCTTAGTGGGATTTCATGCTTCACTGGAAGATCTACAAATAAGAAACAAGTGTCATAGCACTATTAACAGAAGTTGGAACAACAGAAAGGCAAGCCAATGTGGGGTGTGAGATACTGAGTTTTATTTTAGACATGCAGAGTTCAAAATTCTTGTAGTATGGCCAAATGTTTAGGTCTCTAGTAATCACTGGGATTATGGGAATAAAGACAGAATTTTGAATGCATTTATTGGGTTGTTGGAAAAGTCATGACACATTTTTGCAACGAAAAACATAGAAAAAATACGTCATGACTTTTCCGACAACCCAATATATAGAATTTAGTTGAAAGCGTTGGTGAGCAATCCAAGAGGAATAAATCTTGTCTCAATGTCCATAGATGTCAAACACTAGTAGATGAGAAGTACAGTGTTATTATGGCCGAAATAGGAAGAAATTTCACACAGCTATCAGTTTCTGAGTGTGCATAAATAATGAGTACCACTAATGGGGTAAAGTCTAAACTGAAGAAATCAAAGTCTCTTCTAAGAGAATGGGAACAACCTGAAGTCTATAGATAGGCACATGGCTTACAAAGGGAAATCAAAGTTTTTAGATATTTTTTAAAGTGCCATATCAGAGTTGCTCATTTAGAAAAAAATCAGACAGTGTTTTCAAGGATATGAGCTGTGTAGGAACATATACTGACATTTAAAAGCCAGAAGATGAACCCAGGCCTTCCTATTATATAAGACTTCTGCATTGAGGGAACCATGAAGGGAGGAGACCAGATGAGTTATCAGTTGGAGTACAAAGTAACACGCCAAAGGATTAAGTGGACTGGAACATATAGTCCCGGGTATAAACAAAACAACAACCCTGTGAAAAGCTGAGAGCTGACAGAATCCCTAAGCCTATTAGAAGTAGTCATTTTACTCCGGGGTTACCTAAGACTAATGAGACTAATGGCTTAAATCAAAGCAAACATACTTTTTGAGACTGGATAATTCCTTCTGTTTCATCAGCAGAGGAAATGGAAAGGTGAGTCATGATTTTTTTCCATAGCCAAAATTCATGACAATGACAGCTACATTATATGACACATTTGTGGAGTTAAACTTTGGTAAGTAAAGGCTAACTCTTTGGTATCCTCTGAAAAATGATTCACAAAATCATTGGAAGAGAATGTAACAAAATATAATGCCTAAAGTCATTTTTTTTAAGAATGGAGTTTTCATCAAAGACTCTCACTTATAAGCACACATTTCCATTATTTCCAAGCATAGCCATGTTAGTAGATTCACTGTCAACTTTTCCAACTTCTATTTTGGAGCTGGTGTTTTTTATTTTTTTAAATTTATTTATTTTCCAATTACAGTTGACATATAATATCATATTAGTTTCAAGTGTACAACATAATGCTTATCCATTCATTTAATTTACAAAGTGATCATCGTGGTAAGTCTAGTACCACCCTGACACCATTCATAGTTATTACAATGCTACTGACTATATTCCTTATGCTGTACTTTACATCCCCGTGACTGTTTTTGTAACTGGTAGTTTATACTTCTTAATCCCTGAGCTGGTGTTTTTTATTAGAACTTGAATTTAGTGAGTATTGTAATATGTTAATTATTAAAATAAAACATTGTTTAGAGCAAGTATATAAGATATAAGGTTGGAACTAATTTTATCAAAATTCATATTTTTAAATTTTAATAAAGATATTAAATCATCTGGGGAAAGGTTATATATACACTGCATACATGAAATTGGTTAAATCAGTATTGATGGGAGCAATATTTAATAAAAATATGGATGATTATAAAATGTGTATGAATGGTATGCTATTTCATTAAAAATATATATCTATATTATTTAATAAACTAATCTTAGTTATTTAATTACTTGAAAAAATAAAGATTTTAGGATTTTTAGCTGAATTTTTTGCAGCTGGAGTCCTATTTTATAGAATGTGAATTTTAATAGCAGTTGTAATCCTCATCTGGTTAATTTTCTGTAAAATTCAAAATAAAAACTGCATTTGACTTTGATATTTATTGTAACAACTTTTAGTAGAGAAAAATTTTGAGTTGATTCTAAAAGTAGAATTCATAAAATGTAGTTAACGCTTTTTATAACATCTACCTGGAAACTGAGCTTACTTATTTTTACATAACACTACTTCTCTGTTAGATAGGAAAAGTTGTTGCCAATGTAATTTTGTGGGAGTGAATAGAAAATGAACAACAGCAAAGTAATAGCATGTGAAGAACTTTTCATGTTCAGATTTGACCGATGTTGCTTTAGTAAGTTATATATTTGTGTAAATGTACTCCACCAATAATGAGGTCAGTTTGAAAAATATATTGCTTATAACTGAATTAAATCAAAATGAAAAATTTTACAGTGATTGTTAAATGCCAAATTGAACTGATCTCATTAAATGTGAAATTCAAGTATATTTAGCCTATCGCCTACATTTTAATACATGAAAATAATGAGAAATGACCAGAATAGTTGGAAAAAGTTATTTCTAGTTTTTTCTTTTAGCAGTTCTCATTTCACAGTTTAGATTTATTTCTTGGAATTTGATGAAATAGCTTAACACGTGAGTATGCAGTACCTCTTAGTTAACAGAGGAAGAACAAATATATTGGCCTGTGTTGCTTTATACAAGTACTTTGCTCATGATATTTACTTAAGGTTGTTACTTTTGTGTGTAAGTCAGCATTCACAGAACAGAAAAAGTTCATTAAGTACTTTGAGAGAGGCACAGCTGTGTGTAGTAAACATAGATGGAGCAGTTTTATATGAGGTTCCTAAATGAAAACAGACTTTAATTCTGTTCTTGCAATACCCACAAGGTTGGCATTTTATGTATTGCTATTCTGGGTGTAGTCTAGCAAACAGTCTCCAGGAAGGTAGAAGAGCAAGTCTGCATTGGTTTTTACTTCCTATGGAAATACATGACATGCATGACATCGCTTCCTCCCGTTCTCACAGAGAAGTCCAGGTGGGACTCCCCACAAGCCAAGGACAGTATGCCAGCCCCTCCTAGTTTTCAGACGCTGTCTAGCCTAAGGCTGAAGATTCACTTTACATACCTACTACAGGTACTAACAGAGTTTTCTGAATCCTGTCCATTATTATGTCTTATTTGAGAAGAATTTGTTTTCCTCCAAACAAAAAAGTCACTTTAACTTCCCTGGCGGTCTGATTATGTCAGTAATTTTGTACCCAAAGCGGTCCATTGTTTTGCATGGAAATTTGTTGTTTTATATTGTAGGCCTGTAATTCTTAGGAATTATTCACTTAAATCTGTCCAAACAAGAGTCTAGTAGGCATCCTAGGTATGATAAAGTTTGAAACACAAAATCATAAATTATAATATAATAAATAATTATAAAAAATAATATAATTTTATTCAATAATGTAATCAAATAAAAAACACTGCAATTTGTCATCGGCCGGCGTTCTCGTCGGCAATCACAGGAGGACACCGCAGGATCACAGGGAGCAGGTAAGGGACTTCTCTGGGACACTGCAGTGTAATCCGAGTGTGGCTTGGGGTTACCGCTTCTGGCAGTGAAAATTAACCCCGAGCCACACTCAGGATTACCGCCAGGGTGGTTGAAGTTCACTTGACCTGCCTATATTCTTCAGTAAAGCAACCCGATGTTTATACCAACACCTAACATAAATTAATCAGTAGTTGCCTGCTTCTTCTAAACATCATAGAAAACTGGTATATAATAACAAAGGGCATATTGAGAACTATGTGTACATTTGAAAAATGTGTTGTGGCTGGTGGATGTCTAATGAGAGAAAATAAAGACTGTAACCATATGCCACAATATCTCATACATTTTTAAGGATGAAGATGTTGTGGAAAAAATCACCAGTATTTTCAATAGCCATCCCCTTTATTTTTTTAATTTTTTTATTTTTAAAAATATTTTATTGGGGAATTAGGGAGGGGAACAGTGTTGGGGAATTGGGAAAGGGGACCAGCCAAGTTGTTCTTCAATCTTCCTTGTGGAGGGCGCCAGTTGCCATCTGTCTTCCTGTCTGCTGCTCGTGGCCTCTAAGCTCAAGGTGCTGTGTTCAATCTTAGTTGCGGGTGGGCGTAGCCACCATCCCATGTAGGCATTGAACCTGGTAGACTTATTGTTAAGAGCGCACACCCTATCCACTGAGCCATCTGGGTGGCAGCTCAGCTCAAGGTGCTGAGTTCACTCTTAGTTGTGAATGGGTGTAGCCCACCATCAAACAGGCAATCTTGTGGTTACACCAGCTGAGCCATCCTGCCTCATCGAAAGCTCAGCTCAGGCTCAGTGTCACTGGCCCATGTGGGAATCAAACTGGCAGCTCTGTTGCTCAGAGCCTGTGCTCTTAAGCCAACTTTTAACCAACTGAGCCACTCAGCCAGCCCCAATAGCCATTCCTTTTAGAAGAAACATCTGAACCATTATTAAAATCTCCTATAACCAGGTAAAATTGGGTAGACCTCATCTCCAGTTGAGCTCTTTGAGGTCTCTTCAAATTCAGAATGGATTTTATGATTTATAAAGTTTTCTATTGCTTTGTCTTATTTGAACCTTTTGAATATGGTGTTCTTTTGTGGTAAATTGTATAATTGGGAACACAAAACACTTATGTGTCTTCTAGATTTTGTGGCATCATAGCACTTAGAGCTGAAGGAACATCAGGCAATGAATGTGGTGTATAATTAGACTAGCTACTTAATCAGCATTAGAAATATTGTAAAGGACTTTAATAGTAAAATACAAAGGCATTTATTTAGTACCTATTTTAGTGTTGGGTTAGGTGATGTACAAAAAAGTTTAAGCAGACTTTTAAAGGACATAGCTATTGCTCATTTGGCAAAATTTAATTCCATAATCATAATGAAGTAAAATGTGGCAGCAAGAAAACCTAACTCAAACCTCTTCTCATTTTCCATCATTAAAAGTATTCATTAAGTGTCTCTCTGTGCTAATGTGTTAAAGCATATTAAAGAAGTTATGATCAATGCAGAAATATAAATAATAGATCTTAAATAGGCACATTAAGCAAATGGATGTTTATAATACATGTTCTGATTTTCATTTGGTATAAAAAGTATTGAGAAGGTGGTCAAATGCTAAATTACTTCAGTAACCCACACTGAGGATAGTGTCTCTGATGTTATTGGCGACACAAATATTTGAATTACTAAAATATCTAAGGAGACTATGAGCTTTTCCCTGGGGTACAGGCCAACAAATTGCATTACATGGAAGTGAGAGCTTCTAGATGCTACCTGAGCCAGGATGCTGGATATCAAAGCCTGATATGCAGGAGGATATCATAAAAGGCACACTATGGCATCCCTTAAGAAAATATTTCATAAAGTTGGATGAGATGCTCAGTTAATACTGCCTGGTATCAGCCCCCCTCCCACTTACCAATCAATCAATCAGCCAATTAATATTTGTCAGACATGCAAAAAGAGATCCCAATACAGTAGGATAAATACATGGCAAATGCATGGCCAATAAAGGTGGAGAAAGATGAACTCCTCTTTTGATATAAGAATGGGAGTGGGGATTGTTTTCAAGGAAGAATTCACAAAGAAAAACCTTTTTGAGAAGGGTCTTGAATAATGAGTAGGAATTCCATACGTTTTGTCAAGGTACGATCCCTGGACTACTTACACTGGAAACACTTCCAGAGCTTGTGAAAAAGTTCTTGGGCTCTAACTCTGACCTACTGATTAAAAAATCCCTGGGGCAGGATAAACTTCAGGACCACTGTCCCAAGGTCTAGGTAGGCAAAGGTGTTGTTGTTTTTTTCTCATAGTTCTGGATGCTGGAAGTTCAAGACCAGGATGCCAGCATAGTCTGGTTGTGATGCAAACCCTCTTCTTGGCTTGTAAATGGAGAATTTCTGATGTCCTCACATGGGAGGGAGGGAGAGGGAGAGGGAGAGGGAAAAGGAGGGAGGGAGAGGAGGAGGAGGAGGAGGAGGAGGAGGAGGAAGAAAAAGAAGAAGAA